AATTTTAGAAAATACATTGTTATCAAGTTTTCAATGCAGTGACCTTCAAATGAACAGTTTAATGTAACAAAAACTTTAATGAATTCACTTAATGTTTTTATTACTTCTTTAATTTAAAAACCTTGAAGTTAGACGTTTTAAGTATTTAAAGTTAATGAAGTTTTTAGGTTGATTTGTCAACAATTTGATTTATAGACACTTACTTTTGTTACAAAGGGTTATACACAATTTAGAATACACCTGTGTCAATTTCTGTTTTCCGAAAGTAGAATTATTTACTCTGTGTCAGAGTGTCTGAGTCTTGTAATTTAATATATTTAGGTGTATAAAGCTATATTTTATCTGCTGCAAAAGTTAATGTTTGACTTTCCAAAAAAATAAAAACTTTCAAAATGCTTGTATGAAAAACATATGGTAGTATATTGCCGTAAAAGTGAATGCCCCATGTACGTAAAAGTGAATGCCTCATGTACGTAAAAGTGAATGCCTCATGGGATTTCAGAATTCATATCACTCAGTTTTTCCAGAATGATTTTTCAAATTGTGAAAAACGACCCATAATATTTCTTAATTATGTTTTGCATATCTTTCTGTTTTAACTGCCCCAGCTGATCTATGTTGAAAATTTCATGTTTATGTTTTTAGGCTTTTGGACCTCAGTGGAGTTCCTTTAAGCCTTGGAGATAAAAATATGTCATATTTATAGAAGGCAAACATGTGTTTTAAATAATGTTTATCAATGTTACATCATGCTTTTTACCCGAAAAAAGTAGTCCAGAATGTGAAATAATTTGTCATAAAAGAAGCAAAATGTAAACAAAGTGTTATTTTGACTTCCATACAAAATACTAAATTACTTTAATTGTACTTAATCGTCAAAGTGTAAAAAGCAATATATAAGGATAACTCATCTTTATGGTAAATGAGTAACTTTTTGGAAACTGTAACAAGGCATCAAAAATATAAAGCTTTTAAGAAATAAAAATAATAACATTTTTGGGGGTTGATGGGCCTTTAAGATATTGGTTTACTCTATACAAGTAATTTTGAACTTTTAAACTATCAGATAAAACAGTGAAGAAATGAAGAGGATGAATTTTGGGAAAATAAATATATAAGTAAAATTAAATATTGTAATTTTTTATTGATATGGAAAAGTATACCTTAGGTTTATGATATATATCAAAGATTTATTGTGATAAATAAAAAATCTGAAAACATTTATCAGAATTTATCATTGCCGTTTATTTTTTATGTTACGAAAATCCTGTACGCTGTTACTTTTCATTAATGAAGAAATCAGTGTACCATAAAAATTTGTTACTATCAGCAAGATCATTTATAATTTATGTTCACATTTTTATACTGTGAAATTTTAGCGTTTTTTTATCCCTCATTTTACAGATACCATAATTGATGTTTCAAGTATATTTATTTATATGTAATTATATAATGTTATACATTACATGAATATTAGCCTGGTTTAAAATATCTGCTTTAATGTTATTACAAGTAATTATAACATAATTTATTGGTGATGTAAAATGTTTGTTAAATATTTTTAAAGACCTCACATTAAACTAAATTCTCTAATTGAGATTTCATGTACCGTACTTTAGTCATTTTTTCTATTTCAAATATTAATACTTAAGTGAAAGGTTTCAATTAAATAATTACATAAACTGTAAAACTGACATTTTTTTTTTTAAATTATTTTTCTTACATTGTAAAGTTTTCTGTGCTTTTAGTTGTATTTTTTTTGCACAACAGTTAACACTATACCCTCTAAACAGAAATGGACATATCCATCTTTCAATCTTTACTAAATTATTCATTATTTTTAGGGAGAATTTTAAAATACCAATTGACTAATTACTGATTAAGTGCAGGCCATGATTTTTACAGAAGGGCATCCTGACTGATCTTTTTTGTCCCCCTCTGGGGGCACTTTATTATTTTCAGTTAAAACAAAAAATGAAATTTTTTTAAATTTTTTTAAAAGCCCCTTTAAAATAAAAATATAAATTATTTTTTGGAACTATTGAAATGTTTTTTATTTTTGGGTTTCATAAATCTTTTTTTTGGCAAATTTCTCGCGGAACAAAAAGTTTACAGTACCAAATCTGTTTTAAATTTTAAAAAGGGAAATTTAATAAAAAAAAAAAATTTTTCATTAATATAAGCCAATCAAAATGACCCTAAAGGGTCTTTTCAAACATTAAATTTATAAAACTATAATTAGAATCAAATTAAATTTTAAAATTTTAATTTTAGTATTTTTCTCTTTTAATTTGGGAAATTTTAAATGGTACGTATTTACAAAATATTTTAAAAATTAAAATTTTAAGGCTGCCCTTAAAATTTTTTAACAAAAATCAAAAATTGTTGGGTCAAGGGTAGAAATGCAGAAAATTATTGCTTCAGATTTCATTCTAACCCAATTATTTGTAATTTATTTAGCTCTTCTATCAGATAAGATTACTTAACAATTATCAAAAATATTTCATAGTGTAAGCAGATAATATTATATTATCATAACTTTGAGAGTCCTTAAGTTGTCTGTTTATAAACAGATAACCGTTATGCATTGTGATCAAGTTGTAAATTTAAATGTCGAAAGATGTCCAAAGTTTCTTTGTATCGTAGAAACAAAATGATCGTTAGATATTTCTATAAGGGGAGTATAGATAGCCTGTTTTAACTTTTGTTTATATTGCAAATTTCCTGTGTTTATATAAAACTGCGTTTATTCGACTCCCTTTTAAAACCCAAAAATTGCATTTACTTTTAAAACTGGCCCTGATGAAAAACAAACTTCTTTTTTAAACAAAGGGAAAGGGTAAAAAGAACAAAATTAACATGGGTAATTTTAAAAACCCAAATAACCCCCTTTAAAGGGGTGATTTTAAAAGCAGATGTAAAAAATTTCTGCCCGGAAAGAAGTTATTAAAAAGTAAAATCCCTTTCATAACATTTTTTTAATTGGGAAAAAAAAGATTCTTTAAAGGGAAAATTTTTTTTTTTTTTTCCCCTGAAATACCCTTTAAAAATAGGGGTTTTAACATTAAAGTAAAATTTATTTATTTTTTTTTAAACCCTACAAAAATAATGAAACCCGTTTTTAAAAAATTTGTGTTACGTTTCAAAGATAATTTTTTAAGCGAAAACTAAAAAATGGAGCACAAATAACAATTTTTTTGACTAGAATCTATGGGCTAAAAATATAAAGCTATTCGGTTACTTTGTATTTATATGCATATAAAAATCATATAAAAAAATACCGGCAGCTTTGATTAAGTTTGACGAAGTGAAATTTTTTATATCTACGTGTGCTGTTTGATGTGATTCATCAAGGATATTTTCATATTTATAATAAAATGATAAATGACGTTTGCGACACAATTGGTTTATCAGAAAGTTGTTTACTTTTTTATGTTGAAGGTGTCTTGTTTTAAGTGGGGGACATAAATCGAGCAATAATCGATGGTCAGCGTGACTTGATGTTATCAGTTTTGTGATATTTATTTTCAAAATTTTCGTAGGGACGTCACTATAAAAATTATAAGGATATTTAAAATGGAATTTTCCAAGATTCGTTTACGGAGATGTATCGTGTTTCAATGTGAAAGGTCATCAGTTTAACTTTTTAAATAAACTAAGATACTGATCTAGATAACATTTGATTTTAGTTTCTCGCATCATGTGTCATGAAAAGATAAAATTTCGTAAATTATATGTTTGGAAAATTGAAAATTAACTATAGGCCTTGGACTTTTCAAACACTTAAGTAGAATTTTTGAATTGTGGACTCTTTATCTAAAATACTTTACAAGTATTTTAAATGAACTTATCTTTGAAAAAGTGGAGTTATGTAATACATGAACGTCCTTGTGTATTACATATACAATGTTTTAAGTGATTGACAGACTTTTCGTTACTTTCGGTTAACGCATAGATTATTTTTATATGAGGAAAAGGCGTGCAATGAATCACTTGGGTTGTTATAGCTGTGCTTTAATTTGTACAGTGATCATGTAAATAAGGCGTTAAAAATTGTGTGAGATTTTCGTATAAGTAAAATATGACGATAAATACTTAAAATAACATATGTGATAAGTTTTGAAAATATTGTGTAGAGTCAAGTGGAACATGTGAATTATTTGTGAATGAAAGTGTTTAGTTTGAATGTTTTCAGTAGGTAATACCCGTCTTTTATGAATGATAAAGCAAGCATAATTGGGAAGATTATTTTAGGTATGAATAACTACGGGATGTCCTAAGGTTTGAAGTAAAAGTGTTGAAAATTTGACTGAAGATATTGTATGAAGACAGATTAGAGAATTTTTAACTTTCATGGATGTTTTAGAGCTATATTATATATAGATTTTGTTTTTGATTTTGACTGTTAAATTCACGATGTGATGTGATTTTTTTTGATTTTTTTTTTGGACAAAAAATGCATGATATTTCTATTGTGTGTTTTATTTTGTACCTTAATGATCAGGATTAAGAATTAAAGGCTTAACATTTATTTTAACGCTAATTTTCTAATTGATTTGAGAAAGGGAGGGTTAAAATAAGGCTTTTCATGACAAATTGGGGGACCTTGGGTGTCCCAATCAGGGGGTAAAAAAAGGGATGATTTTTAAAGGGTTTGTTTTCCCGGGGGGAGAAAAAAGTTGGGTTTTTTTTTGTAGTGTTTTTGGGAAAAAGAAAAGGCGTTTGCTGTAATCTCCCCCATTTTTCCCCAAATTTTTTGTAAAAAAAACATTTTTAAAAGGAAGGGAAATAAAAGTGGTAGAATAACCCGTGAATAAATCCCCCCACCTGTGTTGAGGGAAAATTTTGGGAAAAGGGGGTTTTTAAAAAAGTTATGAACTTAGAGTAATGGAGTTAAAATGAAAGACCCCGAAAAATGAGATTTTGGATTTAAAAACATGCCACAAAATATGCTTACGAGATTGTTTTTTACGGGATCAAATGATGTAAATTTGTTCAAGTTTCGATTGAATGAGGCAGATGAAGGAGAACCCGGTTCTCCAAGAATGATGTTAACGCCCGACTCGCCTGCCACAGTGCGAAAGAAACGGAGAGCTCCTGCACCACCATCAGGACTAGTTGCGGCTCGACAAAAGTTTCCGTCAAGTGACGATATTGTCGATCAAAAAATTAAACATCATCGGACTCAAAGTGTGAAAACTGCGAGGCCGATGAGCCTCAGTCCGAACATGAGGGCTTCAAACTTATGGGATGAGTTATTGTTAAGAATGAACCACCAGTCCCCATCACCTAATAGTTCACCAAAGGTGACTAGGACAAAAACATTGCTTGATAAATTGCGTTCACCTAGATTGATGCACAAAAGTACACGACGGAAACGTACAACATCCAAAGATGATGAAGAGGCAGGGTTCAAGCCCGCGTCTCACAGCAACAATTCCTCTTTTGATGAACCAGATGGATTTACTCAAGAAACCCTATATTTTGTGTTACTACCACTGGATTTTAACAGAGATACAGAGTTTGAGGTTTGTATTTTGAGACGTTGCTCTTATTAAGATTTTATTTAACTGTTTAAAAGATGAAGTCTGCAATAGATTTATACAGTTACTAAAGATGTATCATATCAAACTTTTTCTAAAATGCATATTCCTCTTGTTTTGTGTTTATATTTTTATTGCACATGAGTATCAAACACTGTCAAACATTGTCAAGAACAGATAAGGCTGATATTAATCCTTTCATGCTAAGTGATAAATTTGATCATAATTCAGTTTTTTGATGCATTTCATTATGAGACCATTGCCACCTGTACTATTTTGACAACATCCAGTTAAGTGTTAAATAGTCTTGCATGTTTGCAAGCGTATGCCGTTAATTGTAAAATGGAATGGTCAAGCTTACGGAAAAAATCAACAGAAAAGTGTATGTTACTTCTTTTTAAAATTGAGAAAAAGTTTTAATCCAGATAACAAGAGTTTCTGAAATAGCATCTTGGCAAAGTCGGAAGTGCTTTCAATTTACTATTTCTTTTTAACAACTGAAAGACATTGATTGTCACAGTAAATGTCAAGGTCAAATTGCAAAGTTCAATAAGTGACTGTCTTCAACTCATAATCAAACTGTACTCACAAAATAATTAAAAATCTACAACTGAAGAAGTAAATATAAAAATTGTCATGGAAATAATGCATACATTTGCACCAATTATAATTAATATATATATTAGCAGTCCAGAAAATTGGGGATGTTTCTGTGGATAGTTACCATTAATTTTGTTATGCTTACTCACACTTGAATTATTTTCCCTAATGACATAATGGTAAAAAACACAGCTTTAGGTGATTGTTCAAGTCACATTTCACCATATTTATGATGGATGATAAAACTGTTTTAGATATACTTTTGTAATGGTTAGATATAACATAATGTCATACTGAAAAGCTTTAGCCCACGGCCTGCTGATGGTGACTGAATTTACACATGCGACCAGTGCAGACAAAGCACATCCCTGCATATTTTGCTGTCATTAGCACTTGGAATAGTTGTCCAGCATATAGTTGGTTTACAAATTTTTTAACACTTAATATGCCATCCTTAATAGCAGATTGTAACAGTAGAAGAATTTTTAATCTCCACCGCTGATTTTTTCATTAAACTTGAATTATTTCTGCTACTATATACCTTCTTTTTGTATTTTTTCTTTGTAGACGTTATTTGTCTGATTAGTCATTTAAGTTTTTGGGGGTTATTTTTAAGGAAAATTCTCTTAAAATTGCAGTACTTAGAATATGTAAAATGAACACTGAGGATAGTATTTAAATCGGTTTTAATTTTGTTTTGTGATTTTGTCATTACATTTACCACATCTTCTCATAGCTTAATATATACATGTATGATACTATGCTTCAGTCAGGCGTTGATTTTTCGTTTTTCGGCTTCCCCCCCACCATTTCACAAATTCTTGTCATATTTTCTACCCTACCTTTACATGACATCTTATCATATATGGAGAATATAGATCCATGGAAAGTATTAACTTTCAAATAAGAGTGAATTGGATGGTATGTCATGTATACAATACAAGGTGTAATTTTCTCTGTGTGTATTGGGTATCATCAGAATGTTTATGCTTGCCCTTTTGAAGTTCATAAGTGTTTACATATTTGATATTTACGATACCTATATGATTAGATCAGATAATTTCAAGTATGTAGGATTTGTAAATAAATATATTCCTGTACTATACCTGCAAAAAAACCAAGCTATTGAAGTGAATAAAATATCAAGTCTACATACAAGTCTTTTTGAAATACAAGGTGAAACTGTTGAAAGAAAAAAGAAAGAAAGAAGATTCTTTACTAAGTATGTAATCAGTAGAGTTTCCTCCCACCGACATGTGTGCAAAAAGAGCAATTTGTCATATTCACTTCCCATGCATTAAGGATGGGTAAAAACTGATTGAAAAATAATGAATGAATCAGTTTGATTGAATAAGACAAATCAGTCAATTTGATTGAATAAGACAAATCAATCACTTTGATTGAATAAATGGATTAACCAGTTTGATTGAATAAAAAAAAATACCCAATCAAAGCTTTAGTAAGCAAATCAACCAGTTTGATTGAATAAGACAAATCAGTCAATTTGATTGAATAAATGGATCGACCAGTTTGATTGAATAAACAGATTACTCAATCAAAGTTTGAGTAAGCCAATCAACCAGTTTGATTGAAATTATGAATACATTGACATTAAGACAAGTAAATCTCTTGTGAAACTCTCCTAACAACCCCAACAATCCTGCTGAAAAGACAAAAAATCAAAGGGCTGCAACCTCTGTCGTATTTTCTGATCTTTGCAATCTAAATCATACTGACTACATGTGTATCTGTATGTATTTTCCTATATAAGTTTATTTTTATATACTATAATTAATCCTACGCAGCGACTGCGTATAGCTATAACAGTTTGAGATTGATACATATGGAATTTTGCATGACTAGAGTTGCATCAAAAAATCATTTTCATTTTTTATGACAGCCATACTTGCATATCGTGGCTACTTCCTTAAAAAAGACACTTCAAAAAAAAAGTTGCCTCGACTAGGATTTGAACCTTGGGCCTCTCACACCCTAAACGAGCGCGCTACCTCTGCACCACGGTGAAGTAATACATATGTAGCTTGAATAATAACAAATACATTGTAATTCTACATTGAGAATTTCCATTCTGTGTTTGTAATCCTTACTAATTTCGAGGTATTTTCTTCACTATAAACCTGTTGTTTAACACTGATGAAAATAATTTAGCAAAAATCTTCTCGCCAAAACAGTACGACATGTATATATTCCACTATTCGACAGTCAGATTTATGTGTACTACGCTCTGGAGTATTCGGTAATCGACAGAGCCAGCATTTTCATTGATTAAGCTTTACGGAAATAGCCGAACATTTTTCATTGGGTAAAAAAGATATTCATCCGCAAAATTTGTGATTGTAACCTCATATTTCTATTGACTACTCTAAACTTTAATGCACTGTAATTCGTTAAATGCATACATTAAAAATTATTCTTTATTTTAAATTGCTGGTTTTTAAGCAGTTCTGAGTGAGAACTACTTTGCGTTGTTAGGTCTGTTAGGAAAATTTGTGTTAGACCGTGGATGTTAGCTATGTATTTACTGATCTTGCGATCAGAAAATACAAAAAATGAAAAGACAAAAAAAAATTAACGAAAAGACAAAAAAAAGTAATATGTCAAGTGTGACTGGAAGTATCTGTTTACATTCCTGACAACATTACACTATTTAAAATACAGTAGAAAAGAGAATTTAGAAATCTTGTTTTTATGCTTGAGCATATAAGGTAATGTAAGTGACAGATGAGACTGAATATATTAACCGACTTCATAATTATATATTAATATGTAAAATCTCAAACTACCGGCTTTATTTATACCTCTCCTGTTGTTCCAAATGCCCCCTTTTAGCTGGATTATTTGAAGTATAGGGAGAGCATTGTACTCGCCAAGGTGCCCACTGAGGCATTGGTGTTGGAGTCGAATCTCACTTTAGTTAAGTTTTTGCATGCAAATTGGTATCTGACACTTCACTAACTTACTAGAGAGCATATTAAAGGAAGTTACTATCCAAGGTCCTTTTACTCTTACATTGACAATCTGCAAAAGATAATAGAGAAATATACTCGGGAGTTAAATTTTAAATTGGGTTTTGTTTTGCACAATTTTTAGCTTGGTTTGAGTAAAAAGCTTTGCAACACTTGTCATTTTTCAGTCATTTTGCACATGTCAAATAATTATTATGTGAAAAAATGTGAGGGAATGTTCTGAAATTTTGCACACAAGTTATTAGTCCAGGGCTACATCAAATGGAACAAGTCTTGAAAAAAATATTTTCAGTCCCTTCAAAAAACCTGAGTGGAATCCATTTAAATAGACACTTTGTCTATCATTCAAACTGAACAATGTACTGGGAATTTTTGTGAAATATGTACAGATTGTTAACAAACAGTGCAGACCATGACCATTCAGTATGAATCCCTTTGGGCAGTTCAATTCTTGACCCTTTTCTAAAGTAATAAATTTTCTGACTTTCTTGAAAGATATAATACTCACCCCTGCATGGTGAGAAAAAGGATGAAAATGAAGTAGATTTTTTTTTTGTGTGAAAATAGATTACTATTTGTTGACTTTATTGTTCAAAATACAAAGACATTATTATATATATGTCTAAAGCATGCTTACAAAAAATGAACAATTACAGATTCTAATTAGCTGGAAAATTGTCATAATTTGACAGTAGATCTGTATTGTAAATAGATTTATAGGAGATATATATTGATAAAACATTATTTCTGTGCAGGAAAATGTGGTTTTATATACAAAGTTCAGACTGGATTTAATTATTGAGGTATTTTTGGATATTTATTTGGATTTACCAAGGCATCTGTAAGTCTTTCTCATTTGATTTATGTTTTGTATAGATTAGAATATAATTATAGCATATTGTTCTTTATAATGTAGATTTCTGTTAAAGAACTGAATTCTTGAAGATATTTCATAGACCTTCTTACAAAGCACGTAACAGCAAAGGTAGGATTGAATATTTAACCAGTTAGTGGCTGGTTGGTTTGGCATACTTATATCCCATGAGTAAGCTAAGTGTTACGAGTAAATTAGCATATACCCTTGAATAGAATCCTCCCATGCCAATCTAAATTTCTTATTCTAGAAATTGATCATTATTAATTTTTGAGATGATCAAGATTAAAATTTGAAGTAGACAGAAACGAGCTTGGTCAGAAAATGTATGTTACTGTAACAGACAGTCTTGCCATGTGTTCTTATGTTGCTGGCAAAAGCTTTAAATATTGTTATTATGTTTAAGCATTGAAATGGTTTAATGAACTTGTTAGTTTAGAAAGTTATTGAAAGGTGAGAGTCTTCCTGCTTGAAAGTAAAGATAAACAAGGAAGTACAGCAGTCGATAAAAATACAGATTTTTT